GCAATATATACGAATTGATAATTTTAAAAAATAATAATAATCACTAAAGGATGCAAAGGAGTAATCACCTAAGCAAAGAATGAGAATGATTAAACAAGCTTTGAAGAGCTTGGTTGCCTTGAGCTTTGCTTAGGAGATTCTTCACATTCTGTGTCATCTGTATTGATTCAAAAAGAATATTTAAAACTACATGATAGTAAGATCTTAATGTTGTAACTTGAAGATGAAGAAAAACGATTACCTTCCCGAGACTACCCTTGGAGTAAGGCATTGCCCTTTGGGCTGTTTGGTTACTACTTCGACTTCTTGTCATTATCTTTGAAGAACTTTGCCATTTTCCTTCCAATTGGTTTGGAAGTGTAGATTCCTGTATATACATATGTAATGAAAACGAATAAATAAATTTAAGACAAGAAAAGAGAAGATATTGAGAATTCGACATACCAAGAAAAGCACTGTTGCACAATGCTTGAGGACCTCTAAATTCATTCGAACATCGTCAAGACTCCTGCAAATTATTAACATATATGTGCTGTAATATTATCTTACGAAAGATATATGAAACATTAATACACACACAAATCTAACTAACTAAGATACCTGTGTTTTTGCACTCCAAGACCAAAATACGCAGCCAAACTTGCCATCTGCCATATGCGTTAAGCTTGTTAAGTATACATTTTTTTTTAAGTTTTCACAAAGATCTTCAATATACATCTTTGATATTTTTATACGTTTGCATGGTACATACCTTCATGTCACCAGCTCTTTTGCCAAACTTATCGCTTAATAACCCCAAAGAATCAATGATCCCTGAGGGCTCAGGCGCAGCTTTACCAATCTCAGCAAAAGCTTCTTTAATCCTAACACAGTCGAATCTTCTAATGTTATGACCAGCCCATATCCGACCGTTCAACAAACCATAGATCTTCTCAGCTACATCTTCGAAACATGGTGCATCCGTGACCTTAGCCCTCGTGATCCCGTCTGACCTAGATGATCTTAACGAAGCCACCGACAGGTCTTTGGGTTGTATAAGCGTTGTGAAGCTCTCTACCTCTTCAAGTGTTCTTGGACATACGACGATGGCACCAAACTCTAGGATGTGAAAATGCTGTCCTGTTTTGTTTGGTACGTTGGTTTCTAAATCAAAGAATACGATTTCGTTGGTAAATGTTTGGATCTCCATATCAAAGTTTGGGTTATATCGATTTGTGGATCCTAACTATGTGTTATATATTGCGGATTTGTGGTTTGGTTACTTGCGATAGAAGCTAACTGTAGGTTTGTGTTGGAGGTTACTTTGAGGGTTATTTAGCTTCATGGAGAAAATTTTGCTGTGTAGGATAAGTAAGAATCTTTACTTTTCCTTTATCTAAACCAATACAAAAGGGATGTTATGTTATGAAGGACTTCGTTGGTAGATTCATCTTGTAAGAGAATTTATTCCTTTTGATTTTTTTTTATTGAGATATATATATTATTTTGCCCCACAAAGCTTTCTTGTGTTGTATATCTAACAAGTAAATTCCATTTTAGGATAATGGATAATTCTCTCTTGCTTTAAATTCTCCATTAGTGTTGAAATGACAAACTCTCTTCATAAGTGCTTAGTGTATCAAAAATCTTTATAACAAGATGGATATGGCGAAGCATACAAGAAAGTAAACCAAGTGCTAACTTACAATAGAGAATAACAGCAAATATGCAGCCAGTACACGCATCAACAGAGACTCAAGCTGAGGCAAACCCAGCAAGATCAAGATCCTTGATTAGTTTCGTCATCGTATATTGAGAGTCTCTTTGGCTAATCACCTTTTGCTCAGCTGAAAACCTGCAATTCTGAATGCTAAAGGATCAATTTGCATATGTCTCAAGCTTTTTTTTTTGGTCCTGATCACCTATAAATCACTTACTATTTCTCAGTCTAGGTAATTCATGAACGTACTTCTCTATTTAAATGTGCATAGGGCTAGAGAACATCTTCTCCATCCCTTATCCTACCTAACTAGATCACTTACTACTTCTCAAATATATTCAAGTGATCATAACATTTGAAAGGGGAAAAATCAAGAAGGGCAGAACATATACACAATACCTCAACTAAATCCTGGTACAAGACGAATCAAAGTCATCGGGAGCAACACGTGTAATCCAAGTATTCAACGTCCGCTTGGCATCAGTATGGTTAACATAAGCTAACTCATACATACTACACAAGTTCACAACCAAGCTCTCATTCAAAGCCGCGGTTGGTACCCTCTCCAACGCACTCTCCATCACCTTGATCGCATCAGACAAATCTCTCAAGTACATCAAACAAAGAGCCTTATTGTTAACCGCGATAACATCCGAGTTATCTCTCTCAATACACTCTTCATACTCTCTCACAGCAGCAGCATAGTCCTTTGCCACAACGTGAACCAAAGCCTTATTCCTCCCCACAAGATTCTTGAACTGAGTTTCATCGTTCTTCCCTTCATTCAACATCTCCTCGACTCGGTTAAAAGTCGCTTTTGCCCCTTCTATGTCACCAAACTGCATCTGAACATACCCTAGCTTCGATACCAAAACAGGATCTAACGGATCACGTTTAATCAATTCCTTGATCAAGTCCAAGGACACACCAAACTCCTTGTGACCTAAGTGAAACCCTAACAAACAACTCATCACAAACCTCTCCCTCTTCTTCCACAACTCAACAGAACAATCTAACTTCTGAGATTCTTTCTCTCTAATCCTATCGCGAACGAAATCAAGCAATGTGTATAACCGATCTAAACCTTCTTGACGATTCCCTAACTTAGTCGGAATCAAAGCGTACAACCAGCGGAGAGAGAAAGGCACCATGGAACCCTTCCGATTCGGATAGATCTCAGGGTACGATTCGTACCTGTAATGCGTCCCGTCGAAGTCGTGCAACGAGTTAAGCTCGTGGGAAGCTTCGTCGGAGCGGCGTAGCTTTGTAAGAGCCATGACTTGGTAGGTTAGGTAGGTGAGATGCTCGTGAGGCTTGGTGAGGAGGAAGAGGGCTCTGGCTTGTGAGATTTTGTCGAGGATCGCTTCCCAGGAGCCGCGGGTGGAGAGCTCGTGGAGGGAGCCGAGATCGTGAGTGAGTTCGTCGAGGGAATTGAATCGTTGATCGGAGAGGGGTGTGAAATCTGGGGATGCGGATGATTCGAATGCCGTTGGTTCGATGGGTTGTACGGTGGCGGGAGTGAGATCAGCGGAGGAGGGATTGGATTCGGGTTGGGGTGAATCCGGATCCATTGGTGGAGATGAGTCCGAGAACATTGTGGAAGAGCTTCTGTGACAAAAATGATGGAACTGCGATTGTTAATCAAATTAACGCGATGAAAACTGTTGTGATTTGAATTTGACTGATTGATAGTTATGATATGGCTAATGGGCCCAATCAAGGCCCATTTCAGTTCTGCGCACATGCTAAGCACATTGACATGGTCCAACTCACTCATTTGATCAAGGGATCTACAAAACGTGGTTCTTTATTTTCTTTTTTCTAAAAGCAAAACATAGGTTCTTTAGCTTTTTGACAAAACTAATCTACTTTTTTGCTATAAAAAAACCGTTACTTTTGATTTTTGAATATATAGTTATATTTTTTACCTCCCTAAGAAGAATAAAAAGTTGTGATCACTGATTTGTGTTATTAAATATGGATAGAAAAGTAAGCATTATACTCCAAACACTGATTTGTGTTATAAACTTTTCTATCCATACACAGATTAATTAACGCGTGTATCGATAGATCTTTTGGCTATCTGCCATAATTTTTACATAGGATCCAGCAAATTTAGCGGCGAAAACATTAATGTCAAGCAGATGTACAGTTAAGTGTCTGGATACCAAACCATGTAGGAGGTTATGGCTCATAAATAAATATCTATTCGCATTATAGAATTACAGGTTACATTTAATACTGTGTGCGAGGGTCCAAAGTCCACCATTCACATTTTGGGATATGTTCCTGGGGTTTAGTAGATACAAATACAATATTCTAGATCGAAGACGTTGACAATCAATATTTTTACCTTGACATTATCTTTTCTCGATAAAACCGACTTTACCTAGCAAGTAGTAGTAGCAGTATTACCTTCGTTTCATTTTATCAGGTATTACACTTTTAGCCAATGTATTTTCACCTGTTACTATATTACTCACTAGTCAAAATAAATGGAGTCAAAAGTCGTTGATTGTTGACTTGGGAGTTGAGACAGATGTGTGAGTTGGTGTTAGGTGTCCAAACAAAATGACAACGACTCGTTTGATTGTTTTTTCTTAAAGCGTGTTTGTAATAGTTGCTTAGAGGATTAAGAGGTTTGACATCCTTACATTTGTGTATTGTGAGTACATACTTCCATGAACTCGACTACTGTACTGCTAGCTGTGAAGTCAAAATCACGCAAGGAATCTCATTATTCGACACATTTGTTTAAAAATGAAATCAAACTCAGGAATATGTACGTGCCATGTGACTATCTCTACACTCACATTAATTTTACAAGTAACATAGAAAAATAACACTGAACAAGTACTCTAGAGTCTACAAGCTTGCAATCAGTCAGTCAATTATTATGAATGTGCAATTTGCAAGTTATTAATAAAAGTATGCATGAGGATACAAAGGTATATTTTATTTTAATTTGGTAAGCACATGAGCAAAGACCAAATGAAAGCGCGTTGAGAAAGAAGAACAGATTAAAAAGTATCGTCGTTCTTGGTCCTCCATGTGACTGATCTCTCAACTTTCTCACTTTCGCATTAAATTCTTATCCTTCTTCTTTATTTCCTTTTCATGTGTCGTTTTGTTGAGTTGCTCGCATACATTATTTTGATTTGATGTAAAATCATTGAAACAAAAACCTTTTTGCCTTGTTAGGTTTGCAATTGTTATTACTTTTAACAAATGCGCGCATACAAAACTAGACCCGATATAAATCTAGAAACCAACCTAAAGTATAATAATTTAAAATTTCGAAGATAGAGGATATGATCACCATTTAATCCAATATCAGATAGGAGTTGTGGGAGTAGTTACGATTAACTTCCTTTTGTCTTTACATAAAAGTGTATGTTTTTAATATGTAATGTACAGTACACACAGAAAGCTCATAAGAAAGTGACTGTTCTTAATTTTTAGATCTCCCAAATGATTACAATTGTGTTTACTCTCCCACGTACAATGAATATGTATTTTTACTAGTTACCCAATACGAACAATCACATACCTACAAAAAACAAGTTACGAATCATATAAAAAAAGAGACAGGCAGAGCAGAAAATGTGCAACGTGACGGTGAGGTTAAAACAAGAAGTAATGAACATTGAATTGAATATTACCAAAACGACCGAACTAGTAAATTCTCTGGTCTCCATCTTCTCTCTTCCGTTCACACGCAAGCACTCATATATATACACATAAGCACACTGTCACTAATGCTTCTCTCTCTGTCTTTCCTCTTTTTCTATATATTGACAAGCTTGTGATCTATCTTCTCAAGATCTGTCTGAACCGTGAGTGGATTCCTAGGTTTCGGAGAGAAAAAATGGCTCCACTCAAGTACTTGTGTTTTAGAAAGGTACTGTTGCTCTGTTTCATTCTCTCCTCTTCTTTCTTTGTTACTTTTGCCTCATCAGAAACTTCTGTTGACGGTGAGCTATCCATAGATCCACATTTTAGAGTGAGAAGATTGTTGGTAAAAGATCTAGAAACTGGTGACAGTGATGAAGAAACCAATCCTCCTCCTCGCAAGAAGAAGAAGCTTACTGATCCTATTGCATCATCATCATCATCAACATCTGGTACCAAGAAGAATCAAACCAAGCTCATTAAACCAATCTCTTCTTCCACCAAGAACCAGACTAAACTCGCCAAGACTACATCTTCCAAACTCAACTCAACCAAATCATCTTCCAACACGACCAAGGCAGCCGGATCAGACCTCAAGAAGCTAAAATCCTCAAATTCTACAAAACCAACTACTCCTTCCACCAAGAAAACAACGGATCTATCCAAATCAACCTCATCAAAAAACAAAACCACCACAAAACCTCAAACCTCCAAACTATCTCCACCTCCAGAGAAGAAGAAAACACCACCATCCTCCTCAAAACCAGTAAGCAAACCAAAACCAAAACAAGCAGAGAAAGCAATCAAACCATTCTGGCTAGACGACGAGGAAGACGAAGACTTCATCAGCGAGTTCAGAGACCTCCCCACGAGATTCCAAAGAACCCTAATCCCAGACCTAGAAAAAATCTCAACCACATCAAAAAGCTACATCAACAAAGCCAACAAAGAGATCACCAAAAACTTCAAACCTTACTTCGGCAACAAATACTCACCAACCATCGCCTCCGTAGTCTCCTTCGTCTTCATCCTCGTCCCTCTCCTCCTAGTCTCCCTCGTCTTCAACCGTTTCAAAGCCTACTTCTCCCTCCAGAAACTCCTCATCTTCATCCAAATCTACCTCTCCATCTACTTCTCCATCCTCTGCCTCTCCTCCCTCGTCACCGGCATCGAGCCTCTCAAGTTCCTCTACGCCACGTCGAGCTCAACCTACGTTTGCTTGCAGATCATGCAGACGTTAGGCTATGCCTTCTACCTCTTGCTTCTTCTCATGTACCTCGTTCTCGTCTTCTCGACTGATTGTGGTTTGGGCCTTAAGGTATTGGGCTTGGCTCAGACGTTGGTGGGCTTTGCGGTGGGTCTGCATTATTACGTGGCGGTGTTTCATAGGGTGGTGCTTCGTCAGCCTCCGAAGACTAACTGGAAGGTGCACGGTGTTTACGCCACATGTTTTCTTATGATTTGTTTGTTGTCTAGTGCGGAGAGGAGGAAGAAAGAGTACTTGGAAGATGGCGGTGAAGAAGGGAAGAAAAATTGAATTTTTTGCATGTTTTTTTTTCTTTGTAATTTTAAATTTAATCTCGATAAAATTCGGCAAAAATTCGCTGAAAATGCAATAGAAGAACACATTACTAGTCGAGGTTGGAGATATTAACTTCAGTTGTGTTTATAAATCAATCTATTTAACGTGGAATAAAGGTTTTTTTTGAGTTTTCAGTAAACTTGTAAAAATGTTAGTTTGGTCGGCGAGGAAAATTAAATGTTCTTTCTCTAGATTTAACATCAGAAGTCAAAATTAATGAACGTGGGGGTCTACAGAATCGGAGAGTCGACGACTTCCGTGAGAAGGGGGTACTACAGTCATTAAGGAGCTGCCGACAGAACTGAATGCTGTAGTGTGCCTTGTGTCGGTGGCTAGATCCGACGATAACGACGTCTAGTGAGGAAAAAGGGCATTTTGTTCCTAAACGTGTTGCCTGTCTGGGCCATTCACTTCAAGCCCATGCCGTATACAGTTTTTAATTACGGTTTAACCCAAAAGTGTAGTACATTCATTTTTTTTTTTCTTATGTCAATTCGAAAAATGCAATAATTTAAGACTAAATTAAACCATTAAAGAGCTGTACAAGTCTTTGCATAGACATTATATTGTTCTTTCAAGTGTCACTTGTTGGGCTTGTGAATGGCGCCTTAAAAGACCCTTGAACAAAAAATGGCCACAACATGTTGTTTAGCTTTAGCTTTACAGTGAAGGCCCATTTGTTTTGGTAAAGCACTCTCATCTCATTCACGTTGTGTATGCTTGTAGTCTTCTAGTTGGAATTGTATTATCCATTCAACGATAAAATTAATAATTCAAAATTTTGAAATGGTTTGGAATTTGTGTTTGAATTATGTGAAATTTAAAAATAAAAAGAAAATGTCGCAAATCACATAGAATATATATTTCAAACGAAAATTACGAAAATGTTGGTTAGATTCGCTTATTTTAAATGACAAAACCATAAGCTCAAAAGCTCACAGATCGGAAGAGAAAGCTTTAAAGAAAAAAAGAAAGATGGAGAGAAGCACACCAGTGAGAAACCCACACACTTCAACCGCCGATCTGCTTTCCTGGTCGGAAACTCCTCCTCCTCCTCCTTCTGATCTCTCTTCCTCTTCCGCCGCTCGTTCTCACCAGGTTCCGTTTTGCTTTTTGAGAAATGTTGTCCTTTTACCTTTTTTTTTTCCATTTTTTAAAAAAACTGAGAGTTTATTGTACTTTCTTCATTTGCAGCCGTCAGATGGAATAAGCAAGGTTCTTGGCGGCGGTCTAGTCACAGAGGAGGAAGCTCAGTCACTCAATAAGCTGTAAAACATCCTCTCAATCTCTTCTCTCATTCAGATCTACTACCTGCATCTTGTTACTTTTACTTTAAAGATGTAAACCCAAAACTTGATCTTGGCTTCTCAAGCTCTGAAAGTGTTTCCTTTTTAATTTTCAAAAATGGTTTCTTTGTGATTAGCATTTGCTTGATGATGAACAGTAATGAACTTTTATGAAAGTGATTGGGTCAACTATTAAAAAGTGGTTTCTTTGTCAGTTCATCAAGCCCCACCATTACATTTCAAAACTACCACTGTTTCTGTAATAGTGGCATTGTTTATTTATCCCACTTCTTCTATCTAATGAAGATATCTTTGAATGTTATTTTTATCTGAAAAGTGAAATCTTTCCATAACTAGTTACGTCATTTCTTACTTTTGATTGGTTTCTTTACTGGTCTTTTTAATTCGCTGTGTACCTTTTTGTTTCTTGTTACAGGAAGAATTGCTCAGGTTATAAGTTAAAAGAGATGACTGGTAGTGGCATCTTTACTAATGAGCCAAAAGGTGTTTCTGAATCTGATGCTACTACGGGACTTCGTTACTATCAGGTTAACTTACTCTTTCAACTTATTATGTTTCTCAACAAACATAAGTGTGTAAATGAAATGATTGTTTCATGTAATGTGTACTGTGAGTTTTTTTGCAGCAAACTCTTAACGGAGTGAGTCAGATATCTTTCAGCGCTGACGGGAATGTTTCACCCAAGAAACCAACCACTTTAACTGAGGTTGCAAAGCAGAGAGAGCTGAGCGGGAACTTGCTAACCGAGGCAGAGTTGAAGAGCAAGAAGCAGATATCAAGTGCTAAGATCGAAGAGATAAGCGGTCACAACATCTTCGGACCTCCAACAGAGATTCAGCCTCGATCATTAGCTGCTGCTCAACATGAAGCTAGAAGAGGTAACAGAGACATGGGAGAGCCTGCACCAAGGAACCTTCGTACCTCTGTTAAAGTTTCCAATGTAAGTATCTATCTTCTAGGCATTGCTTATAGATAGGAATGTGACATGAGTCAAAATGTTAAAAAAGTATTTTGTTTGAACAGCCTGCAGGAGGACAGAGCAATATACTGTTTAGTGAAGAACCTGAAGTGAAGACATCAAAGAAGATACATGACCAGAAGTTTCAGGAGCTCACGGGCAATGGTATCTTCAAAGGAGGTGAATCCCCTGGAACTGGAGACAAGCAGTTAAGCTCAGCTAAACTCAGGGAAATGAGCGGAAACAATATATTTGCAGATGGGAAGTCAGAGTCCCGAGACTATTTTGGAGGTGTGAAGAAGCCTCCAGGCGGTGAGAGCAGCATTTCATTGGTCTAAGACTCGTGGCTACTTGGTACTAAAATGAAGAAGCTTTCACGTTTCATTTTCTTTAGAAGAAACCTAGTTTTCTTAGATGGTGGAAAACCCTTTGAGCTTAATAATCTTTGTATGGATCGTCTTTGATGGTGTTGTCTCTGTTTGAAGTTTGTTTAACTTACTCATTATCTTTAATGGACGCTTATTTCTTATTCTTTTATACACTGTAACACTAACAGAAAATGAGTTGGTTCGTTGTTTGCGTAGTCAAAAAGGTGAATTATAAAAAAAAGAAACACGACTTCACTGGGGATCGAACCCAGAATCTCTGGTTTCGTAGACCAGCGCCTTATCCATTGGGCCATGAAGTCTTGTTGTTATGATGAGAAGTGAAACATTTATATTATAAGTCTTTTTGTTACTTTTTTGGTCAAACGATGTTATAAGTCTTTTTTTTGCTTTTTTTTTTTTTGTTTTTGCTTTGGTCAAATACAATATTATAAAGTCTAATAGTAGATTAATATAACAGAAACGCATGAAGCGTGAGGTCTACTTGTTCGTCGTCACCTTCACTCTCACCTCACCTGCATAAAGTCTACCGAATATTCTTCTCTTATTTAGTTAAAGACTATCTCAGAAACGTATCAGAAGGAATTGAAAATTGGATAAGATATTCAATAGAATAAGATTAAGAGTGACATAGTGGTGGTTTTTCTGTCTTTTTAATAAGTTTCTGTTTATATATTAGCCAGGGAAGATGATCAACAGCTAATACAGGGAGAGAGAGAGAGGTGACTCATTTAGTGGTGCACACATTTTTTCAACAGGGGAGGATCCTCTGTTGTTGAAGAATCTGAAAGTTTTCCCACTAAAAACAGAATTTAGTTTAAAAAAGGTGGAGAGATCATGAGGAAACACAAACTTTTGAGAAGCACCAACGAACTTCTTTATCCCATCTCTGCTCCTCCTCAGGTTTCCCAACGTTTTTCCATCTTTTCTTCTCTTTTTGTTGTTGTTGTTGTTGACTTAGTCCAGTTGATATTAGAGTCCATGTATGTTCCTTCTTGAGGGTTGCTTGGTCTTAATGGGTATGTTTTTGGCTTTGATTGTGAAATAATAATATGCTTAGTTGCTTTGAGAACATTGAGTTTTTCTAGTGTATGGGGGTTTAAGTTTTGTTTGATCATTCTGTCTAATTTCCTGATTAGTCTATTTTTTTTTCTGTTGGACCAGGATGAGAGAAAGAGAAATCAAGTAGAGTCTGTCACTGAAGAGAAGCCGAAGGAGATAGAGATCTTCTTGTCTTGGTATAAACACCACTTGAGGAACCTTTTTCAGGCTTTTAAATTTCACAAGGAGCGAAAGGGTACTTCTGTTGTGAATCCAGATGATTGTGATTGTGATGATGAGACTGAATCCGATGATGCCCTGGAGAGGAAGAAGATAGTTAAAGAGGAACAAACGATAACTCTACCTGAAATTTCTGATCCCTCTTTACTATTAACAGACCAAGCAAGACGTTCTCTTTATCCTTCACTTCCTGCTCTTCTTCAAGGCAGGAAATGGGTGTTGCTTTATAGGTGAGGAAGAAACACACACACACACATTCAAAGTTTCATTTCATGGTTTCATTTATTCATTTGGTTTTAGTCTGGTGCGTTGTTTTTGTTCAGTACATGGAGGCACGGTATAACACTATCAACTCTGTACAGGAAAAGCCAACTCTGGCCTGGTCTCAGTTTACTGGTAAACATAAAAACTCAATAATGTTCGTTGTTCCATACCTTTTTATGGAGAGAGATGTATGGCAAACCAAAGTTGTTTTAGGTTGTTGGAGACAAAAAAGGTTCGGTGTTTGGTGGTCTTGTCGAGGCACCTTTGGCACCAACTAATAATAAGTATCAGGTTTGGTTCCAAAGAGAGATTCAATCATTTATCAAAACTTTCTTTCTTTTTCTCAATCTAGTAGTAATTGACATTCTTTTGTTTCAGGGAACCGACAATACATTTGTTTTCACTGATAATTCTGGCTCTGGCCTACCCACAGTATACCGTTCCACAGGTATTGTTTTTTCTTTTTTTATTATTCTTGTGCATTGCTCAACAACAGCAGCATAGAGGTCTTTTAAAAAAAAAAATAATAATGGGTTTGGACTTGAGCAGGAGCAAATAGGTTTTACACATTATGCTCCAAGGACTTTCTAGCACTTGGTGGTGGTGGACGGTTTGCTCTCTATCTAGACAGTGAGCTGTAAGAACACTTTTTCTATCAAAAAACTCTTGAAAATCATATTTTGCAACCAATGTTCCTTTTCAATATCATATGTGTTGTAAATAATAGGCTACACGGATCAAGTGCTTGCTCAGATACATTCGGGAACTCTTGTTTGGCAAACTCTCAGGACTTTGATGTTAAGCACGTGGAGGTAAAAGTTTAACTTCAACCCTCTCCTCCTCTCCTTTAGGAAGGCAGAAAAGGAAAAGCTTCTTTAAGTTTCAATTTCAATTGTTATTGTTTGCAGTTATGGGGATTTGTTAATGCCTCAATGTATGATGAGATTCTATCTCTCAGCAGAAGAACCGAGACTATTTGCAGGTGGGCATGATCCTCCTCCTGGCCCGAGATTATTATGTAATGGAAGTAACAAGTGCATTTTTCTTTTGTAATTGTTGTTTTCTTCTCTCTTATAAGTGTGTTTAATCAAATCTCAAATACACACTCATTTGTAACTCAAACAATCTTTTTTTTGTGTTTGTTTTGATTGCTGTAAGACTGTCATCATAAGACTCAATTTCTGAATCACTGTTTTCTTGAGAAGGAGACAGAAAGTATGAAGTTTGCGTACGAGAGCCTGTTTTTTAAACAAGGGTGTTTTTGAGTCATATATTCATAGTATATGACAGAGGTTAGAACATATTTATGGCACTTGTTTCTGAGTATAAAGCAAAAAAATGAAGAACACAAAACAATGAAGAGAATGAGAGCTTAGTTAACAAATTCTTTTAATTGGTACTTTTGGAAATTAAAAAACACACAAAACTATGATATTAGGATTTTTTTCATCTAAACATAAAATCATTCAAAACTGTTTTCTCTAAACTTATTCATCATCATCATCATCATCATCATCATCATCATCATCATCATCATCATCATCATAATCATAATCATAATCATAATCATAATCGTTATCGTCGTCGTCATCATCATCATCATCTACAGTCCCATCATACTCTAGTAGAGCCTGTGCAATCTTAGTTGCAAAACTCCCTAATAAATTAGCAGAATGTGTTATAGCGGGGATGTTCTTCATGACACCATCGATGAAACGCTTCATCAACAGCGTCGTCTCCTTTTCTTGTTCTGCTGCCTTTTTCCTCACTTTCTTTCTTTGCTTTCCCTGCTGCTGAGGTTTCAGAGGTGCGTCAATATTTTCAACGTGTTTCTCCTTGTTTGCCATATCCATCTTCTTGTTTGGTGCTATGTTCATCCTCTTAAATTTTTCAAATTCTTCGTATTTAAGGTCATCTTTAAATGATCCATCATTCTTCATATGACATTGACCTTGTGTGTCGCAAGAATTCTGGTGTAGAAACTTTCTTACTGAGGTAGAATCACTTTCAAATACTATCTTGTTTGTTTTCTCTTCCACGTGTAGTTTTGCTTTGCATGTCAACTTGTAATTGCTACAGTACCTGCTCCCAGTTTCAATAAGCTGTCGTTTGTAACACTTTTGTTTCTCTCAATCAACTTTGTTATTGGCTTTGTTAGTAATGCAAAATAATAATGGTTTACAAAGAAAGCCACTGAAACTAAAACTCAAGAAAACAAAGAAGCATGCAAGAAAATTTAAACAGTAGAATAAAACATTGTTTTCCTTGGAGAAAGACGTAGACCAACTTAGAAGGGATGTAATCTTTCCATTATATGTATTTCCGTTTTTAATTCAGTCTTTGTTTGAGTAATTAGTAAGTTTTACATGTTCTTCTTTTCTATCCTTTTATTTTACATTTTCTTTCTTCATACTTATACCTACTCTTTCCTTTTAAAATTTCATTTTTGTCATGTTACTTTTTTTTTTTGAATAGATTTTAATTCAAATTTTACCTTTGTCTTACGTATAATATTATATGCAAATTTTCAGTATATACTAATAAAAATAATTTTTTACTATTTTAAATAATGAAAGAAAATTTGTGTATTTATTCATCTCGTAATATTCATCATGATCATGATGCAAATACCAGGCTCCATTGTTCTGCTGAGAGCATCTCCATTAGTGAACCCCCATTTGGGGTTCACAAATTTTTTTTAATATTTTTTAGTGGGATCATAAATAGTGTTGAACTTGTATATTTTTTGCACTTCCATTAGTGAACCCGAAGATGGGGTTCTTATGAATTAAAAAAAAATATTTAAAAAAAAAAAAATTTGATTCACATATTTGCCTTCTTGGGAAGTAACATTTTTGAACATAAAAGAGGAAAATAAATAACATACAATAGCTGATCAGATGACTGGGTGTTGTTTTAAGAGCAGAAAGCGTGCAAGTATGGCGCTTCCATGAAACTCGCCCAGTCCATGTATGCTCTTCTTCCTGAAGGATTAAAATTACAGGCTCAATATAACCTGAAACAAGACACAAGATGATGCCAGAACAAGAAGAATGACCACTTAATTTATTCATTACGACCACAAGTTGTTTGATGTCGTATTGAATCTAAAACCAAAAAGTTAGTAGGAAACAGAGTTCACTGCAACATTAAGTGAAAGCTGACCAGCTGAGAAAAATCATCATCATAACATATATAATGATTAAGATCATCATGGAGAAACCTTTCTAGCAAACTTACCATGTAGAAAAACAAAATCTTTGACGTGTTTCATTCTGAGATCACGTAAGTTGATGATATAAGATGATTCAACTCGAGCAGAAATTGTCCCACCAGAGGTGAAGGCATCATCATCTCCAACTAGTCCAGAACCAATTTGAAAATCAAAAGAATGAAGGGTGTTCTACTTACTTAGCAAACAAAAACTTTAATATAAAGATCTGAAAAGAACACCTGAGAAGCCTTGAGTATGATCAACTGCAAACTGTAAACAAGAACACCTCCACACCTGCCTTGAGGATCCACTTTCACCAAGGGCCCTTTTGGAAAGGACTCTCTTCCTCTTATCAGATGAAGCCAATCTGGACCCTCAAAGCAATGCATCAAGCTGAAACCAAACAACATATATCCCATTAGTTATATTTCTCCTGATATAAAAAAGTAATTGATAAGCAAAAACACTCTAACTAATTTCAATCTAAGATTATGAATCGAATCATCAAACTCAAGAACCGACATCACTGCCTTTCTTACCCTAATGACGTAGACCTCGAGGACGTTGGCGGCGGTTATGACGACGTTAGGCACGGCGCAGATGCCGCGCTTGGGAGGAGCAGGCCAATCGGGTTCGAGGTCGTCGCCGGGAATCTGCATCGGAGTTGTGTCGGAGATGGAGTGGGTGATGTAACCGGAGGCGCAGTTCTCGACGCCCGTAGGTCAATGCATCATCTTGAAGGCAGCGAAACTCATCCTCTTCTTCTCGGCTGAATCGAATCGAATCTTTCACGCAAGGAGGGGAGGGGAGGGAGTGACGTCGACGCGTTTTTCGCTTTCCAATCTCGGCTTGACACGTGGTATGAACCTGGTTCATACCGTCTCGTGCGTAAGGGGAGGTTCACCGATTTGGGCCATTATTTTAATTATTTTTAATCAGTTTGCCTATGTTTTTGAGCCCATGAACCTCTCATAAATCTCTAATGGACATGCTCTGAGAGCTAGAATCTGATCACACTTTGATCCATACACAAATCCCCATAGCTGCAAACAACCAAGGGTGTTTTTTGTTTGTTTACAATAAAAAAAGGTTATAACTCTACCTCCACTTGCTTAACATCCATCAGTCCTGAGAGTTTGCCCATACTTCATTCGGCCCATTAATCTTAATCAGCCCATTAAGTAATCTGTAAAGAGGATGGATTTTAGGGAAGAAGCAAAAACCCTTTCTTTTCATTTCAACCTCTCTGAGAAAGGAAGCCACAACTCCGATCAAAAAATGGGGAGTCGAATGGGAAGACGAGTGGTTCATTTCGCGAATCTTCCGATCAAGCTTCTGATGCCGACTAAACTGACTAACATCCACGAATTCGCGCTGAAAACGATCCCATCCGCGACCAAGATCGAGATCAAGCGAGTCCTGGAGTCTCTCTACGGATTCGAGGTCGAAAAGGTGAACACTTTGAACATGGACGGGAAGAAGAAGAAGCGCGGTGGTCTGTTGATTGCCAAGGCGGACTACAAGAAGGCTTACGTCACGCTCAAAAACCCTCTGTCGATTTCCAAGGATCTGTTTCCCGTGAAGTACATCGAGGAAGATAGGAAGAGTAAAGTGAAAGGATCTAGCTTTGTTGAGGAGGAAGATGATAAGAAGAGTCACTGGCTTGATCAGAAGGAGAAGAGGGAAGTCGGTGGTTACCGTAATGGTAATGGTAAAGGTCGTCGCGGCGGTGATAGGTCTACTTCGCCGGCGAGAGGTGTTGCTCCTGCTGCTGCTGCGACGGCGGGGGCCAAGTTTCCGTGGAGCAACATGAGATTTGGTGGCAAGTAATGTTTTTTTTTTGCTAGGGTTTATGACCAAACTGTTATCTGGGATTTTTGTTTCTGTTGCTTGCTTGAAGTTTCTGTCTTAAATTCAGACGAGTTTGATTGTGGATTTTATAATCTCAAATAAATTCTTGAATTGCAATTTGCTAGAATGCATAATCAGAGATTACTTCGTCTCTGCAATTGAGTTTCTGTTCAATCACATAAGAATGTTGACGGTTAATACTAGGCTTCTGTTAGCCGTTGCTGTCATCTCTGATCATTCCAAAAGTTCCATATTAGTACAGTGGTCGTTTTTTATTTGTAGGAGCCTCTTGTAAGTGTATAAACTTTAAACATTCTAAAAATCAAAATTAAAGGGAAAGAAATGGTTGGGAAAGGTATGCAATTGATGCACTCGCAGTTGTTATTCACAGAGAAAGTGTTGACTTATCAACATTATGAAACTAAGAACTGAAGACGAGTTTTGTGAGAAAAAAAGATTCAAAACAGAGACAACGAAGAAGAAAAGGAGGCCAGTGTTACAGTTTTGACTAGATATGATTGAAGCTGTTGTCTCCGTTTAGCCTCACTCTCAGTGTTAGGTAGATCAATATCAATGTTCCCACACTTGATCTGCATTTCCAAGACCATTCATAGTGAGGTTAAGTAAATATATTGATTTTGGTAATACACTGTAGAGTTAGTAATACTTACAAGATGGAGAAAAGGATGACGATTTTCCTTGAATCGAATGAAGCGGCACGCTTGTATCTTCTCCACCTATTGGTTGGTGCATCATGGCATCTCTCGGAGATCGCTTTATCTGCAACAGAAAGTTGTCAAGATTTTAAGTTCATAAACACATTAGACAAATCTAAAACTAAGCAGGAACATTGTTATCTATCTTTACCAGTGGTCATGCTTGCTTGTCTCTGCAATACCTTTTGCATATGCTGGTATAAAGACATTGCGACCACATAAGAGTAAGGCGTTTGGATATCTAGAAAACTAGAATATATATATAAACTGGGGGTATAAAACTTACAACACTCTCGGACTTGACATTTCCAACGACTCCACCGTCATGAGCATCAACACCGTTCCCTTTCTCGACGTTAATGTCAACGACACAAGACTGGTAGGAATCAGTGCCACCCAGCAGAACATTGATGCGGTTCTGAGTTTTCTGACAGTTGAGTTGGGCATCGATGAGCATCTGGTTTTTAGAAGGAAGAAGAGCCTTGACGAAGCTCAAGAGAGTGAACTGGGAGGTACATTGTGGGACTGTGTTTCCTTCATCAGGTAGGACTGAGATAGTACACACGTCTTGGACCTATACAAAAAGAATGATTTAGCAACACTTAATCATATAACACACACACAATGGTCCTTGACATATCTATTGAGATCGATCAGAGTGATGTACTAGTTAAGTAATAAACATATCAGCTCAGTAACAAAGTTGTAACTGAATCCAGTAAAAATCGAATTCTATGGGGCATTGTCATAACTCACAAGTGAAGAAGTGTCTTGTTGATTCAAAGGGAAAGCAGCCTCCTCCTTAACAAGAAGAGGAGAAACATCTGCATAGTCATTTTCTACTAATTTAGCATAATGCTTTTTGCATCATGATACTAATGACGTAATCATTATTATTAGCCTTTTTACCTATGGCGCAGTGGTTGACACCATCGGTGAAGCTAGGCTTAAGAGGAGACTTGAAGCTTGGATACTTGACTAATGCGTTCCCATCTCCGAATTGCTGCTTCCTCTGAAAGAAAGAAAGAAAGAAAGAAAGAAAGACAGAAAGAAATAGTCAAATATAACCAAATCATGAATCAAATCTGAGTAGCAGCAAGACTCTCGTCTTATTATTCTGAACCGGAGATTAAAGATTAACTAACCGCTTCACCAGTGGCGGCCATGGCAGAAAAAGAATCGTGAACGAACCGACGGAGAAATCAGAAGCAGTTTTCAGAAACAATAAACAAACAATGCATGTAAAGAAGAAGCTTCCTCGTGACGGCAGATTCAGAGAAAGAGTGAGAGAGAGAAGAGTTCAAAAGAAGAAGAAGAAGAAGGCTGTGATTCGCCTGTGAATGCCTTCACTCATCTGATTGCGACTTCTACAAAGACACACACACAACAACGACTATTCCTAATCCTTCGCCTCCTCTTTCTTTCTAATTTCCTAAACTACCCCTTCGCTTTTCTCCATCATCTCTCTCTCTCTCTGTCTTTTTATCCTCCTCCTCCTCATTATGGCCAATATTATTAACTAAACAACTTGATTAGTGATTTCATTTATTTATTTGTTATTTTAATTATATACTACTAATACCACAGTAGTAGTGTATAATGGGATCAACAGCATAATGACATTATTTATTTTACTCTGACAATTCAATGCATGTCTGCTTATTCTTGTACCCTTACCCTTAAGTATGATTAAAGAAAGAATACTCACTAGTGGTAGTAGTATAGTATACCTTCATAAATTATTATTATTTACTACTACTATTTATGAGCTGTCCATGATAGCTACCTCTTTCTTTTTTTTAATTAATCCACATAAATCATTTTATACAGTTTTTTTTTTTTTTTTTTTTTTGGTAAAATGTAAAGATTATATTA